CTGGAGCCCTGAATGAACTAAATCCTTTCTTAGTGCACATCTAGAAATGAATAGAATATGAGTGACAGACAGAGTGACCGTGGTAGGATCAAAATAAGATCAGAAGGATTAGGAAAGAAGGAGGAGTAGAAACAAGAAGCAGGAAGGAAGAAGGATAAGTGATGTTCCATTGCGGGAATTGCAATCAATGATGTGATACAAATCGGGCCTGAGTTGTTGACTGGAAAAATAATCTGTTCTGAAACCTTTACTCAATTCACAATAAAAAATTTTGTACAGTTTAAGTTTCCCAAGACAAACACATAGATGAATAACTGCTACGTTTTAGGAGGAGTGAAAAAGATTTATTGTTGAACATAAAAACAATTCATAGAAATCATTTTTGTTAGAGCCCCTTTCATGTTCTTGTTTCTCAGGCTGTAGATGAAAGGGTTCAACATGGGGGTCACCACCGTGTACATCACGGCAGCTGTAATGTCATTCTCAGCTGAGTGGGAGGATGACGGGCTGAAATACACAGCGATGATGGTGCCATAGAAGAGGGACACTGCAGCCAGGTGGGAGCCACAGGTGGAGAAAACTTTCCACTTTCCCTTTGTGGATGGGACTCTCAGGACAGCAGAGGTAATGGAAATGTAGGAAACTAGGATGCAAACCAATGGTATCATCATGATCAGACCCCCCTCAGTAAGAATTATCATCTCATTGAGGTGTGTGTCAGAGCAGGAGAGTCTCAGGAGAGCAGTCATTTCACAGAAGAAGTGAGGGATAGTATTGTCCACACAAAATGAGAGTTGAGCCACCAACAAAGTATGCAACAGAGCATTCAGAATGGCAATGACCCAAGAGCCAGTGACCAGTATGGCACAGAATTGATGGGTCATCTTTGTTGTGTAGTGCAAGGGGTGGCACACAGCAACAAAGCGGTCATAGGCCATCACAGCCAGGAGGAAATTGTCCATGTCAGCAAGGGCAATAAGAAAATAGAGCTGTGTGAGACACTCTAGGAAAGACATGATCTCACTGCTGAGTGTGTTGGCCAGCATATTGGGGACTATGGTGGAGGAGAAGCAGAG